GGTGGGTTTCGGGGGGGTCCGGGGGCAGCGGTGTCCGGGCTGTCAGCGCGGAGCTGCGGGCACGTGGAGGCGGCAGCGGCCGCTCCCCCTTTGTTGTGATCCCGGAGCGCTCCCCTCGGCCTCCGCGGGGGGTTGGGGTTTTTTGTTTGGCTTTGTGGTTTGTTGGGGGTTTTTGTTGTTGTTGTTGTTGGTTTTTTTTCCTTCTTTTTCCTTCCTTGCTTTCCTCCTCCTTCCTGCCGGCAGTCAGGATCGGGAGTAAAAAGTTCCAGATTATCTCGTTCTGAGCGATACAGGCTGCGCTTCTCTTAGTGTTTCACTGAAGTGCAGGGTTTTTTCAGCAACTTCCTCTTGTACTTAAAGCCTTTAAAGTTTTGTTTTCCAGTCGTGCCCATTTTAAGTGCTGTAGATTATTCCTGAACGTTAGCACTTGAAAAGTTCAGGATTCTTTGCATCCAATTCCTCCCCTCTGTATAATTTTTACGACTGTTTATATTGCGACTTTGTTCTTAATGTGAGGAGCAGTAAACCAGTGAAACCAGTTTCACTTTCAGGTTGTTGCTGGAAATGTTTTAAAGTGTAGCAGTTTCTCTCCAATGTGGCTTAAAAAAAAACCCAAAACAACATAAAAATCCTACTGCAAAGCATACGTTGACTATGGTAGAAACGACTGCGTGTGAAGGAGTCATTTGAAAATAAAGATTTCAATGTGGGTGGCAGCCCTTGTGATGTTTCAAGTCTAAAACCAGTTAAAACTGCAAGCTGCAGGGTAGTCTTCTCTTTTTTTAAATTAAGATTATTCTGCAGCTTTGAAAACTTTGCAGTTATTTGTTGTGCTTGTTTATAACAGCCCTTGTAAGGAATTAAAGGCTCTGGAAGAGTCTAATCTGGAACATCAAATGGGAGCTGAACCAATTTATTTCTATTAAAAAGTAATCAAACTTGGTAGCTTAGTAGTCTTTACTGGTTGCTTCTGCTTAGGGATCATTTTGAGCAAGTGTGTAATGTAAGCTGTTGGAAAACACAGCAGAGGTATAAACTCCCCTATGTGGAAGTTATTGTTTACGCCACAATAATAGTTCAGGCGTTCTGGAGTGTGTGTAGGCTTGAGCATGTGCAAAAAGATTGTAGACTGAAAGTAAGAATTCTCTTCACTGTGGTTGCCTAAAGAGCTAGATGACTGGAGCAGTAATGAAAATATGTACAAAAGTTCCCCCTCATTGGCTTTCATTTCTCTTATCTTCCAAAATTTGATTTAATTTTGCAAGGTTTCGATACCTTCTGCAAACTGCTACTGCATACCTTCATTTCTCAGGTAAGTTGGTACACTGGGCATGTGTGATACTTTGCTGAATCTGGCTCTGAGCACATGGAATTAATTCAGGTGTTGAAGGCTTTATTTTTGGGTTGGTGGTGTTTTGGTTTTTACATATAAGTTGTTGGTTTTTTTTAATGGTAACAGGGTGTTTAAAGTTAAATATGTGCCTCTTCCAAATATTCTTTTGTAAGGGCTTTGTGGAAACATAAGGGAGTTTGTAACAGATTTTCAGTTTTCTCAAAACTCAGATATTTCACATATTAATCATCACACCCCCCCTCCAAAATTGCCTGCTAATTTGATATATTTTTTTATGAAAGAGTCTCCCCTCTTGTGTGAAACCCCCTGGGGAAGAGGCTATGGACAAAACCATTGGCAAACAGCAGAAACTGGCTTCAGACAAAATGCTGTCATACATAGCAAATGAAGAGACAGGAAAAAACATTTCTGTAATTTTCCAGCAGAGATTTTACTTATTATAAGAGTGGAAGGCACATTTCCAGATAGAGGTGAGTTGCTTATATAAAAAAAAGTAAGTTTGGTTGGTTCTGATTTCCAGGAATCCCAAGATGTTTAGCTTTGGGGATTTTTTTTTGTTTGTTTGTTTTTAATGAAAGCTGAAAGTATGTTTTCTTTAAATCTGTACCATGTTTGAATTTTCTTTTTTTGTCATGCTATGAAGCACAAATAGACCTCAGTCCCACAGGGGGCAAGCCAGTATTGCTACAGTAAATTATTTTGGCTAGCTTACGTTTGGAAGAGCTATAATAAATTAGTTCCATCATTTCCTTAATGCTAATATGCAGAGCTAAAACTAAGCTGGTAACATAAAACATTAATAAACATTTGAAAACAAAAGCTGTGCATCAAATTTAATACCAACTGGGTAGTATGCTGTGGGAAATGCATGATCTGTTAAGGATAGATGATTAAAGTAAATGTGTCTTATCACAGACCCTTGGCTTGAAGGTTGTGGTGACCTCGTTGTTGACCTTGGCCTCAAATACCATCTGTCCGTACTTCTGTCATGTTTCTGGGGGTTAGATCTGTGTGTGTAAAGTGATGCCTATCACTATAGGTGCTGCTAGGCTTTTGTTAAGCTACAGCTGTTGTACTCAAAGCTCTAAATTGCTGCTTTTCTGAATTCAAGCACCAGATTGATTCATTTGTAGCAACAAGCAGTTGGAGAGATTTTAAAGCATTTCTATGGTTGGGTTGGATCATCCTCTTCTGGCCAGGGTGTGCTGATTGGGAGGCAAGGAGTTTTGTTACTTAGTAATGGGGCATTTTCTGTAGCAAATTCTCTCCTTGAGAACATTTTCTCCTAAATTTTGCCAACACTGGAGCAGTCAAGATACTAAAGCAATTTCCTGCGTAAGTATTTTATGTCTAATTAACAATAAACATTTTGCATTTTGGCCATGCATTGTTCACCCTTTGTGACCAAAGAGTAGTTATTATGTTCAGAGAATGGATGCTGTAATGACCTGACCAAATCCTAGTGTGTGCGCATAGTAGCATATGTTGAGGGAGTGAGAAACTAGTTATTTTTCATATTTGTTTAGAGTTGCCTTCCTGGTTTTAGGGAAACCGGTTTCCTTAACTATATTCTTTAATCGTACCATTTGCCTTGTGTAATAGTTAATGAAGAGTGTTTCTTAAAAATAAATTGTTGCCAAGAATTCACAGGGAGGAGAGGAAGAACAGGAAAATGGATGTTGGACAGAAGAAGAAAGCAGTTCTTAGGAGTTCCTTTCTCCACCCATCCCCTTCAATAAAGAAAAGTATGCAAGAAACCCCCCAAGCAAATAGTAGTGCAGGCTTATTCTGCAGTCCTGCTTACCCTAGACTTTATATTACTCTGTCTAAAAATCTTCCCAGTTGAGCAACCAGTAATCCCATTAGGAAGATAAGCCTTAACCAGTATTGCTGAAACTTTTTCCTGTTCTTTGTGCATTGCTTCTGCTTCATGTTCTAGTAGACTGTCAGAGGTGGAGTCTGCAAAAGAGTAGGATCTCTAAGTTCTGCAGGAAGGGTTATGAGAAATTTAACATGTTCTTCATTTGTTTCTACAAATGTTGTGTTTCAGCGTGGGTTGAAAAGAACCTTAGTGGTGTTTATTATCAAACTCGAAATGTTTTGATCTACTTTAGCAGAATTCCAGCATAGGTGTTTGCAAATCACCTTCCCTTACTTCTGTTCCCAAATTGCCTTGTATTTTTTTGTTGCAGAACTGTGCTTTTTCCCAGTCTCACAAAACATATTTTGAGCAACTTACCCAGAATAATAACTATACATGAACATCCAGATAATAACTGTAAATGAACATTAAGAGTGTCCTGCATGAATTATCTGGCAAATATGGTCATCTTTTGGAAAAAGCTTAGTTAGAAATGTTCCATAACATCTTTCCATACAGAAAATGTTTTCTTTCTCATCTGTGGATATTTTGGCAAAGAGGGCTTGGCAGTTATTGAGGTTCAAAATGTATGTGATGCAAAAGAAGAGCAAAAAAATAAGAGGCAACTGTGCTGTTGTGGTATCTGCAATTGTTAATCTTGCACCATGCTTCAACTTGCCTGGAGCAGCCTGTCTTCCTTTGTGTGCCACTGCTCTTTCATCTTGCCTCCCACCTCCCATTTCTTCCTTCACCTTCCCTGGGAATTAGCTGCACCTCTCTTCCTCCTGAGCTGCTAGAGCATTTCTAACCTCTGGCAGCAGATGCTGGGCAAAGCAGAACTGCCATGTGGGTCCAGAGTTCTCCAGGCTGGAAGTGGAAAGGGATGTCCCAAGATTACCTTGTACTGCAGCCTCCACTAAGGGGTTGAAGTTCTTTATGTGGAATGAGGCCCTAATCTGAGTGAAACCAGATCAGTTGATGTATGGAGGATGAGTGAGCAAGGAAGGAGATCCTGCCTGTGGGCTCTGAAACATCATTAATATCTATCCATAATATTGGAAGGAATTATGGTGGTGTGGTGTTACTGTTGTGAATGGTTGATACACTGCGTATCTTGGTGGAGGATGTGGTCAAGGAAAGTTAAACATTGGGAGATATTAAAGAGTTCATGAAATCTTAAGGAATATGATTAGTTTTCATGTTCTGATCGATAAATTACTGGCACTGTTCACAGAACACTGTATCCATGGCAACATTGTGCTCAACTTCTGCCTTATCTACACACACGTGCATACACAAAAAAGTAACTGCTCTTGCATGTTGTTGGCTACTAGCATCAGGAATAATGTGCAGGTGAGACTTGTCACCAGTGAAGGTCAGGACTAGGTTTAGTTCTGCCATGGCTCAGTTTTTCCTCTCATGATTGTGACCATTACCCTGGCTACTTCAGGCAGATGTGAACTCCTTCAAGGAGTTGTCACGTGATGCCCTATCCTAAGTTTTTATTTGTTTAAACAAAGTTTCAAATGAGGAATGTGTACATAATTAATGTACCACTGCCTTTTTTTATTGTTTGTTTGTTGGAGGTTTTTTCAGAGCTACTTTAACTGCTTTAAGTTTGTTTACTTTATCCCATAAGCTTTTGTGCTTACTGATTATTGTTTGGGTTTATTTTATAAGATGTTAGGACTGGGTCAGCATGGAAATCAGTTTTCCCTTTTAGCTGTAAGGAAATCCTTCCATAATAGGATTTAGTCAGATTGCAAAGAAGAATAGAGAATATTATAATAAAAGGATAATGTTGCAGAAAAAGGCTCAGATGAAATCCCACAATAAAAATGTCCAGGCATATAGTCTCTAGGAAAGGGATTTGGGAAATTACTGTGATGAAATCTTAAAGCTATGAATCCAAATGCAGTATAAGAAGGAAAAGATCACATTATTATTTTTCTGTCTACAATGACTTTTAAATAAAATCAGGTCTTGGAAAAGGAAGTAGAGGCAAAGGCTTGCTTATTTATTTTTTTTCTGTTTTCTTGGCTGTGCTTCATTCTCCTAACTTGTGTTTCTTTTTTAGAATTTGTCTTCTCTTTATCTGTTATTTCCTCTCAAACTTAAATACTGTTATGGATAAATGGAAATACTTAGAAGATTTTTAATTTATTTTTTTTGCTTAATGAGGGCAGGTTATGTAGCACTACTCTTGTTTCAGTAGAGTTTTGTCAGATATTAATAAACCAAAAATTGTCACTGTATTAAAATGCATCTATTGGATGTGCATCAGAAAAAAGTCATCAACTAATGTATTTTTTACATCTCTTTAACATATTCTCTGGAGATTGCCTGTTATTTGTTCTTCAAAATTGTGTGGTTTTATTAGCTCTCACATTTTTTGTTTTAGGAAAAAAATATTATGTAACAAGTTTTCTTATATGACAGTAGCAAATTAGTCACCTTTCTATCTTTTTTAATTTATACAGACCCTATTGCCATAGTAACTGAGCTCTTTATAATTGTTAATGTATTAATCCTCAGAACATCCCTGTGAGGCAGAGAGGTATTCCTGCCTCACACGTGAGAAACTGACTCATAGGGAAGCTGAGTGATTTGTCAATAACCCCACATGCCAATGAGAGCAGAGAGATATTCTCATTTTTGTTCCTATGGAATAAGTGCCCTCTTGGTTGAACTGTCTTTTCTCTGCCCAGCTTTCTCAAATGAATGAATGTTAGTGAAATTGGCTGCAGCCATCTGGAATGTGCTCATTTGCCTCTAAGATCTGTGTGACTGTCGTTCTTCAGCATATCAGGATTAACAAACTCTGAAGATACCAAGAAAAAGAAGGGTATGGACACTACTGTGTATTCTCAGTGGATCATCAGATTTTTCTTCCTGTATATCATTATACCAAAAGTTGCCAAGTTTTGACTCTACTAATACTGATTTAATTGGCAATTTGTGGTTTGTACCTCTGTATTCATAGAGCAGTTTATTAGTACATGTACTTTTGAAGGCTGACTTAGACCTTTGAAACTTTTTAAGCTTGACTTTGAAATATTTGCATTGAGAATGCTCTGCTATTCTTTGGGGTTTTTGTTGTTGGTTATTTTATTTTTTTTAAATTTTTAGACAGAACATACTTCACGACCGGAAAGGAAAAGACGTGATTCATTCGGGATGTTTGACGGTTATGATAGTTGTAGTGAGGACACGAGCAGCAGCTCCAGTTCTGAAGAGAGTGAAGAGGAGGTTGCTCCTTTGCCCTCCAGTCTCCCAATTATAAAGAACAATGGGCAGGTCTATACTTACCCAGATGGCAAATCTGGCATGGGTAAGTATGTGGTGCAGGAGTACAAAGAGTTGGTTATTTGTTTTTCAGCCTGTGCTGTGAGTTGAGGGTCCTGATTGAAAATGGACCAAAGCAGCTGAAAGTTTGGGGTTTGATTATTTGGAGGAGAGAGGGGAATTGTTTGGGTTTTGCTAAACAGAAATAAGAGACTTTGAATCCTCCTGTCAGGAAAGAAACGGTGTGGGAACATCTGCAATACCATCAAATTTGTGTTGTGTGTATATGTTCATGCATGTGTGTGTTCTGATTTACATTGTTTCTATTCTTTGAGGTTTGAGGAAAATGTTGATGTGTTCACTGTACACTTGAGCTTTTATTATCTCTACCATTTAATAATATATTAAAATATATTTTTTGTTACACTAGGAAAAGTTTATTACTGTTACTATATCAAGTCTGTCAGTGTATACCTGTTCACTAACTGTGAGCTCGGGTATACTAGAAAAAATAAAAGAAGGTTGCTTTTATTATTGAGGAAAAATATTTTAGCCAAAATAGTTAGTGATTAGTAGAGTTCCCCTAGGTAGAATCTTGGCATGTTGTCGATGGCATAAGTTGATCACAAACTCTTAATTCATCATGGAACAACTCGATGGGTGATGCTGTCAACTTCTGAAGCTCATGATTGCAGTTAGAAGAGCATGTTAGTGGTCTGGGGTACTCTGGATATGCTAATTTATGATTTAAAAAGAGATCTAGCTTTATTTTAGGTTGAAAGTATTAAATTTATAGAGGAAATCAAGGCTGGCAGGCCCAGGTTC